TAACGCGAATAGTCATCAATGAAAGTTACGAAATATCTTTTCCCTCCTAAGCTGTTGACTTCAATTGGCCTACACACATCTGTGTGCACTAAATCCAGTGGATTTTTAGATCTAAAAACAGTTTGGGGATAAGATTTTTCAGTTAGTTTTGCTTTTACACAAGTAGAACATTCCACACTATGAGTGCATCTGCCAAGTTTAATGCCGTCTGCCAAATCATTTTTCTCAAGTGTTTTTATGGCATCTATATTTCTGTGGCCTAATCTTTGATGCCATTTTAGTATACAGTTCGTATTAGAACATGAACCATCATTAGCTAAATATGCTTTCTTGTCAATTGAGTTTACGGTCAATTTATATAAACCTTGCTGAGCGTTGCCGTCGGCTACGAGTATATTGTTACGCTTTATGTAACACTTATTACTATCAAATGTAACAATGCAACCTTTATTCGTAACAGATTGAACAGAAAGTAAATTACTATCTAAACATGGTACATACAATACATTTTCTAATTTTATTTGTGTAACCTGACCCTTTAAGTTTTGAACTTTAAAATAGCCTTCACTAATACCATAAGAATTTAATTTAGCACCATTGGCTACAGTTACTATTTGTTTATTAGAGTCATTTAACTGAGAGAAAAAATTCTTATCACTCCTCATATGAGTTGAGGCTCCTGAGTCGATAACCCATTCTTGCGTTTGCGTGTTTTTTTCATGTTTATTTCCACTTTTAGAACTTGATTAAACTGAATCTGCGAATTTTCAGTTTCAATACTTTTAAGATACTTATTTTCTTTAAGTTTTGTTATGTTTTCTACACTTTGCGTATTTGCTATTTGGCATGCATTACTTTTATAATTTTGAGAATAATTTCTTACTTTACTGTTTTTTACATCTGTTTTCGGGGAAGTTCTAGCGCTGCGTTTTAAATGAAAACAGTCATTTATCGTATGGTTATTTCTCTTACAATAAGTACAATATCGTGTAACATACTTTGATTTATTTTCACTTTTACTTTTTAAAGCAAGTGAATCGTATTTTTTAACTTTCTTATTTTCCACACATCTACAATACTTATCTATTATTTTGTTTTTAACATATTCTAGCGACAATCCAGCTTCCGATTTACTTTCTATTGCAGTTATTAAGGAGTTGTATGAATTTGGTAAAGAACATAGTAACATTGCTATTAAGTTATTTTCTTTAATTTCTTCACCTATACTATGCAGCTTTTCAGCCAATTCTAGTACTCCTTTGATATGTTCCTGCATTTTAGAACTTTATCTATATCTAATGGAATATAGTTTTCTCATATCTAATGGAATATAGTTTTCTAGGAAGAAATAACTTGTTTCTGAAATTTACACGTTCATGGACACATTTTAACTTCTGCCAAACTTCTTTTGCAGATTTACTATGCAAAACATGGATAATTTGCGAATCCGAAATATTTAGGCATATTAAAGCTTTAGCTTTACGATCATTCTTTAACCAAATATCAGTAACATTTTCCGATTTTTCTTCAAAAACAACATCATCTAAACCTTCTTTTATTAGAAGTTGTTCTATTTTAAATTTCCACACTGAGTAATTTTCATCTGTTAACTTTTCTATACAAATTGATTCTTTTAGAATAGACATTATTATTTGTTACAATTATTCTTATAAACTTTGTAACTAGAATTTTCAACAAATAGTTTTAACACTTTATGCCTCTGGAATCTTACAAAATTAAACATTACAAAACATTACAAAATTTCAATTTTAGAATTTCATTTTCCACAAGGCAATTACCGTACTCAGTCTTATAACCTCTTGTTGGTTTGTGCATTAGCACTGAAGGCATAATGAGTAAGTTTCCTCACGCACAGTATTTATTTAATAAAATAGGATAATTTTGCTTAACTTAAGCATAACAAAAAGTAATAATCTTCACAGACATTAAAACTTGAAGTATTGAAAAGAATAACTTACATAGAATCATCATCAGTTCTAAATATCATCAGGCTTACCTATTTAGGCAATAAAAAAAAGAAACATGAACATACTTCGACACAGTACCTGAAAGAGAAAGCACTAACTGATTTAGACCTTCGGGCGTGATATACTCCACGTAGCTAAGGTGAAAGTCAAACATATTGCATTGCACGTGAACTTTACTTTCTCTCGCCAATATATATCTTGGCGTACATTCGTTTCGTATGCCTTTCGAGTTTCATTATGCAAAATACCTAAATTTACGCTAACAGTTGCTTTTTTTTAGATCCTCTTCCTGATTCCACCAAGTTTTTATCATTTTCTTAGTTGGGGGTGGCCCGAAATGCCTCTTTGCAACCCTGTTTCCCTGTCCTTTAGCATATGCAATCATACATAGCTCATATGCTATGTTATAGCAACGCCAACTTTTCTTTTGAGCCATAACTTGCCAACAAATTTAAGAAAATTGAACAGTCAAAATTTCACACATTTAAAAGTCATCCATAAAAATTGGAAAGTTTAAACGAATCCAGCTGTGATTATCGATGACAGCCCATGCGCATTCACTGAACTCTACGTAACTGTAATATTCCCATACTCTGCAAGGAAACAAGAAAACAATCCCACAACTTAAATATACTTCCCATTATTAAAACACATATATAATGTGTTTGCTTTTAATATTGCAACATAAATGTTTATCTTTCTCAAGCCATTAATATCTAGCTGGTATTTGATATCAGTATCTTCAATGGATTAACCATTACCTTGTTACAATTCATTGGTTTGTTTTCATCTATTTCTTGTAATAATTTCTCACAAGCCTCTAGGGGAAACATTTGGATCTTCATAGTACTTGGTTTGCATTCATTCATCCACTGTGCTCTATGCAATGCTTTCATTTTAATGAATGCACCAGCTGCTTGTTTCTTGATTTCAGTAGCAATTGGTGGGTTGGAAGTATAGCTTTGCATAGCTGTAATCAGGGTAGTTTCACTGCTCCTGTGATAATTCGAAAAGCTCTGCTTTGCACTCTTTCCAAAAAATCAATCTTCCCTTGTGTGGTAGAGATTAACACCTCACTTCCATATTTGAAAATAGGTTTAATATAAGTGTAAGTTTTACTTAGAGTAGTCTGTGAGCTTCCCCATTTGGTACTGGCTAGTCTTTTCAAAATTGAGGATCTTTTCTCTATGTTTTCTATAACAATATTCACATGATTAGTTAAGTTTAATTTGTTGCCCAGCACTACGCCTAAATATGTGATACTAGTGCTTTTTTTGAAGAGTAGCATTGTCTGTATTTAATTCAAAGTCTGTGTTCACATGTCTCAGAGAGAACTGGTAAACTGTTTTATATATATATAATGTATGTATGTATGTATGTATGTATGTATGTATAATAATATTGCTCTCTTTGGATCAGGTCAGCAGGACTTCAAGTGCATTATTCATTATAATTTTAAGTTTTTCCTTTGGACTTCATATTTTCTGGAATTTTCTGCCTTCTGTGCAATAACAACATCGTCTGTGAACATACAGACATTAATACCTTTAATCCTTTTTTAACTTGGTTACCAAATCATTTATATAAATGCTAAAGAGCATGCAGCTGTTAATTGCTCCTTGAGGTAGGCCTAATTTATTTCATTTGTAATTTGATTCCTGCTCCTTCCATCTGGTCTTCACAATGTTCTGGGAGGCAATGCTACTCGTGCCCATGATATCCTTAATTCACACATGCCTCCTGGGTAGTGCTAAATGAGTAACTGCTATGGCTAAGGCAATTCGGAGTAAATCAGTTCCTAATTTCAGTTGCATTGTATTCAAAATTCAATAATGAAATTAACCATTTAATAATTTTTACATACATTACATTTACATTTTTTTAATCTTTAAATCATGTAAAGAATTTTTAGTCTTTTGGCGAGACTGTTAGGAAATTGTTGAAAAGAAATTTCATTTTTAACTAAAATCAATTCCTAATCACAGAATAAATAAATATGAAAAGATACTTTTGTTACATGAAAATACTGCAGGCTTATTTACATATTTAATATTTAGTTGTAAATATTATGTCGTTGACACTGTTAATAATTCTCTGCATCATTAGTCAAGAAGCTCTTTTAAAATTCTTTCTCCTCGCACATTAAGGAGGAAAAAAAAAACTGAAGGGGCTTAGACGTTAAAGGGCTTCCAGATTAGTATGGTTATCAATAGAGATGGCGCAGGGAAAAATAGCAAAACATTTTACAGGATGATAATACTGGAGAAATATATCATGCAATTATATAAAAATATTTAATGTTTTAAATCACATATATGATAAATTAAATGCCTTTTAAATCAATCAGATTAAAAAGTAAATAATAATAATATTTTTAAGAACTATGTTTATTGCTTTTAAATAGCTTAGCTTGTTAATCAATAACAGATTAGATTTGAAAGATGAATATCTTATATTTTAACTAATTGCAAGATGTAAGATTACCTTTTCATTGAATGAAAAGTGAAACGAGTTTAAAATGGACAATATGAAGTCATATTTTGAGACTAATAGCCTTTTTGTATTAAAAAATGTCTGAAAATAATTTGCACTAGTTCATTGGTATTAGTTTATACAAAATTCAACAAAATGATATTTGCCAGTTGAAATCAGCATCAAATTAAGCTTTGTAAATTTGTAGAATCTTGCACCAGTTAAAGGTTATCTCATCCAGTATTTTATTATTAACCATTCAATTCAAAGCAAAATAAAACAATTGCCATTTATATGACAATCCTCAGTATCAATGTCATAAAATTTAAATATGCATTGTATGCAATACAGAAAGATCATAAATGAAGTTCTATCTCTAACATTATAAGGAAAACATGTTAGAAAACTTCTTAAAAAAACTTTTTTAGAAAACCTTAAAATGAATTGAAATTTTCTAATAAAAGCCATCTTAACAATTCATATTTAAAATCTGTGAAAAATTATATAAAAACAATTTAGAACAACCATAAATATGCAAACCTGTAAACTGTTAAGTAATCTGAACTTAGCACAACAACATACGGATGAGAATATGCAACAGATATAACATTATCTCCCCATTGTAAAGGAGGTCTTTCAGAGATTCCTGCCGTAGTTACAAACATACCTAAGGCACTTGGACCACCAAGTAGAAATTCTTCCTTAACATTAAAAAAAAAAAGTGCATAAATATATTTTACATTACAAATGTGTTAAGTAAATAAATAAATAAACTTAAAATAAATCATTCATCCTTGACTTTTCTTTCTTATCGTCATGATATAATTGTCTTTATCAGTAAACTTCCTTGATTTTTTTCATCAAATCTCATAATTCTAGCAATAAACAGACAAAAATATTAAGATACAATAACACGCTGAACAAATATTAACTTAGAAGCCAAACAACAAAAAATCAGGGTTATATTTTAAAATTTTTCACAGGACTAGTTTCGATGGTTTTACCTAACCATCATCCTCAGCTGCAAAAGCGTAAATGAACGAGGTAGATATAATGATAAGATAAGATAAGAAAGCCCAGACAGGAGATAAGCTACTGGCGCCATCTGTTGATGAAACTAGAACTAAAACATAATTTCTTTAAAGGGTGAAGGCAAAGATGCATTGGAATTAGTGTCATTAACTAGAACAGAAAGATTCTTTTAACAGAAAAAAAAACATCATCTTTTCATCAACAGATGGCGCCAGTAGCTTATCTCCTTGTCCAGGTTTTCTTATCTTATCTAATCATTATATCTTACCTCCTTCATTTACACTTTTGCAGCTGAGGCTTATGGTTCAGTAAAACCATCGAAACTATACTTCGCGACAAGCTAACCTGAGAATACATACACGGCTAGAACGACCTTCTCACAGCTTCTCACCCTGTTCTTCAAGTTATCCATACGCAGTTAACTGCCCGCGGATATTCAATTCCTCTAATTCGCTACACATTTGGCGGCTTCTTGCCAATTCCAGCGTATTTAAATAAGAATCTTTTTATGCAGTCAAGCTGCAATTGAAATTGATAGTTCACTGTAGTGTAAAATGTAGGGCATGTTATTCATTACCTTAATTTATATGAAATATTTCACTATTATTTAAATGTGACGTATACGAATTTGATGACATTTAAAACCAGAATCATTACTTAAAACTTGAAAAGGAAGAGCTAACAATGTATTGCTTGCAGTTTGGATCAAATTTTTTCCCCCAAGACCGTTCGCTTAGTTAAAAATAAAATATATAAATTTTGAAAATCTGGTATTATTTTCTCTTAAATTTTAAGAGTTTATGCAGCTTGTTACTACCAAAACAGTGAATGAGGGGAAAATTTTTTAAAGACGTTAATTTGATTTTAATTTGTGATTGTTTAAAAAACTGACAATATTTTATAGCAGACATTTTAAAAATTATATCCTATATTAATTGCATCCTAAGACACATACACTTCCCAGTCAGACCCACATAATCACCCTCTTACAGTATGTTTTTATCCTATCTTTCTGATTACTGTTTAAAATCAAAAATAAAATGAATAAAAAGACTGGAAACTGAGATCTTCAGATTGCAGTCTAACGACTAAAGAGTTTACCATTAAAAATTTCAAGGTATTAGAAAAATATTAAAACTTTAAAATTATGAAACATAAAAGTTAAGAAACAAATGATCTTATACCAACTAATTAATCGTATACCATTTAATTCCACTAATCAATTACAATTATAACATTAGAAATGTCTTATATTAGTTACAACTTTTTTAGTTCATAAAAATAAAATTGTATTAAAAAAAGAAAATCTGAAAGGTTCATTGCATTTACTACTTTTAAGACATTTACCATATTAAACGACATTTTGCTTGTATTTAAAAAATAAATTAGTTTTTATGCTTTGAAGAATAAAACGTCTATGCGCGATGTGGCGTGAAAGGTGCGTCTTTTGCTTTGTGAAGGGGGAATACATTGTTTTTACACTTATCAATTTATAAAAAGCAGACATTCAGCTCTCTGAGAATCTGCGAATTATATTTTGTCGTGTAGGGCTGTATAAGCTAGGTCAAAAAAATATACATTTCCTTCGAGGTATAAAAACAACAAGCATAAAAGGGCTATGCCTTTCCTTAGATGGAATCATCTGCAAATCAAGCGTATTAATGATAGAGTTGCTTAAGCCGTGAAACATTGGTAATATGCAACAAGTTCGTTTGTAATGACTGTAAGCTCTGAACTGCATACGAGTTCCTCAGTATATTATATAAAAGAAGTCCTTTACCCTTATAAAATCCCCATGAAGCCATCTCTTTCTTTAGGCAGAAACCCTTGTTTCTTCTACCATAGTTAATTGATCAGTACTTCTGTATTGGTTAGGTTAACTGATTTGAATATAGCAAAGCATACAAGAGCTATTCGACTAAGGGGTAAGATGCATTCGTGGAGGACTTTCTAAAGGAAACAAGCTCGTATTCACATTACACATGGAAAAAAGATCAAAACCGACCATAAATACAGCCCATTCGCTTGAGTTCAAACGATGTCAAACTACCAGTATTCAGCGATTTAACCACACGGCTATTGGTGGGACACTTTCATATTATATTTCCTAAGGGATTTGTTAGCTTGTATTTATAATGTTATTTACAACTGTTTATAGTTCTGCCCACCCCCTTTTTTTTTTTTTTTTTTTTTTAAATTTTATTTTTGGCCTTGAAAACGGCCCTTGTATTTTTAATTTGTGGCCCGGAAAAGGGCTTTTTTTTTAACCGAGGTATTCAGTCCATTGAGGTAAGAACTTCCTAACTTCCTACCTCCATGATTCAGTCCCGCTAAGATTATAACAAGTAAGAATATCACTACCGTATTTATTAGGAAAATGCTCCCGTAATTTGACAAAAGCATTCATTATGATTATCTTAGCGGTACTGGTTTTTCAGGTTTATGAAGTTTTCCAGCTTCATGAGGTTGAAAATTATACACATATGTCCAAGATGAAGCAGATACCACAACAATTACTTTTTTCTCCTCCCAGTCAGTGAATGAATTTAATTGCTTTTCTCCTTAAGAGTGGAGTGAGGTCAGTGTTGCTGGAATTTCCAGTTTCGCCAATAATACCAAAAAAGGGGGATGCCTTCCTGCTGGTCATTGAATGATTGACACGATTTAACAAATTTTTAAACAAGAAGCTGGACGCAACATAATCTATCGTTTCACACATTTTTTCCTTCCATTCTCTTTGTTTAACAGCATTCATGTTTTCATAGCATAATTTTTACAATATTACTTCTTGAAATGGTAGAACTATATTCTATGGCGGACGCATACACTCTCTACTATATTCAGTGTTCTCAAGTTAGGTTGACCTGAAGTATAGTCCTGTGAAAAATTTGAAAATATAACACTGATTTTTTGTTGTTTGGCTTCTAAGTTAATTAAACAAAAATATGTTTTTTTTAGCCTTTATCTCCTGGATTATATCTTAAACTAGTTAAGGTATAATCCATGAGAGCGGCAGATCTGGACAGATTTCATAAATTAAATTATATTTAATATTTTGAAGTTAGTCGATTTAACATATATAGTACATCGCACTATAGATATCTTTTATTAATTGCAAATTATGATGTACATGTCTGTAAAATTATAAATTGAGCTTGATGAAAATGAGAATGGCAAAAATGAGTATTTCTTATTCTAAATTTAGTTTGCTAATTATATTAATTACATTTTTCTCATACATTAAAAAAAAAAAAGAAAGAATATTTTTGCATTTTAATGCAAATGAAAGTTTTGACTGTTTCTAGTGTAAATTCTAGTCTGAGATTTCATAATGCACTGGAATGTACTGGAATTCTCATGATTTTACGAGGAACAAAAAAAATTAATATCCTTTTCAATATAAATTCCTATATGATGATTTATTCAATAATTCAGTCTCTCCATTATTCACAGTCCTTCTAAAAGACACCTTTTTAAGATGTTAAGAAATAAAAATTTGTCAGTTTTAAGTATGCTTAAAATATTTAGCTATTGGAATACTATTCCTAATCTATTCTCTTTTACAGCAGCAGATAAACACTTTTATTTTCACATTTTTTAAGTAGCTAGATATAACAAAATGTTTTAAAGAAAGACAATCACTTTGTACCCCAGAATGTCCTAGAATTTAGTGGTTTTTCTTAAATCAGTTTTTCAATAGCTGTGTTTTCATGTGCACAAGAAAGAATCTTTGCTTCTTGATAAACATTTTTCAGAAAAAAACATATATTCTGTTATTCAGAGAAAAGATTTAAAAAAAAAAAAAAAAAAACTAGATTTATTTTCAACTCTAAAAAGATATGACAACTTATAACATAAAGCTCTGTCAACTCGTAAAACAGGTAGACAGTTATTTTTATCAGACTGCAGCATGAAAAATAAATAAATAAATAAGTGTGTGTAAGAAATAGAATCTCTCTTTATCTACAATGACAATGTTAAAAAAGAAAAAAGATGAAAAAAAAAAAAAAAGAAAAAAGAAAAGAAGAAAAGAAAGAGCAAAAGAAAAGAAAGAGAGATCTTGAGAAATGTTTGTTACTGTGATTCAAAAATTAGTGTAAAGCTGATTTCCTAATTAATGGAAAAATTATGAAATTTCTAGCTGAAAAAATTGCCAAGAATTTCGACATGGTGATTTTTATAATGGGTGGTTGGATTGCTTTAGAAATAGATATAACACAGGTACGGCAAATTGCCAAGAAAAGAAATGTTTGTAGACAAGGAAATAAGGCTGCATTCAAAATCTCTGACTTAAGATTCGTGTGCATTCAGTAAATATAACATTTTCAGACAGATGAGGCAGGACATTTTTTTTTTCTAAATTAAGAGCTAATAAAACCTTTAATTTCTGACAATTTAATTTTAATAAATCTTTAATTTCTAATAAAACCTTCAACATCTGAAATTGTTCTGCCATTTTTATTATCCTTACCTTGAAGCTGCAACTTAAGGATATTTAACTTTTCGGTGATGTCTGTGAGAAAAGCAAAATCCTGCAGCCAAACCAGATCTTTTAATTCCCGGAAAGATTCACTTCATTCTTTCAAAAATTCTACTAAGGCAGGAAGAAATTCTTGGAAACGCTGTAAAACTCTGCCTCCACTCAACCAACGAGGTTCTGTATGAAGCA